TTATTACTTAGTTAAATTTTCAACAATTTCCCACACTTAATGAACACGTTAAAAACAAATTCATGGAGTCAAAAAAAGCTACCTACTTGCTCCCTTTTGAGTCATTTAAGATTTGTTTAAAGGCTATTGGGATGCATAATCAGACTTTAAAAGACAGCTATGTTGAAGTACAATAAAGCAAAAAAAACATTGAGTGAGAATATTCACTGAAATGAGTTCAAGTGTTCAAATAGAATGAATGAAAACAGCAGGAGAGACACAAAACTCAGTAACAGGTTGTGCAAGCGTCAGTGACTGGAGTCAAGTCTGTTAGTAGAATATGTCATGAACTAGATTTTAATGACACTAACATGATGTCTACAAGGGATTAATTTCTGGAGTCAACACARTTTGTTTGTTTAGCAACATTAAATCTTAATTTAAAAGTAATAAAAAGCATCTGGTGATATGCATCCCTTCAAGRAATGCTGGGCTTTCAATTTCCTTAAGCTTTCAGAATATATAATTCCTGTCACGCCTCCCTCTCCATGACTACACGATTCCTTCCAGGTGGTCTCAGTGGACTGCAGCTCTTGCAGCAGCTCTCTTCTGTCAAAATGCCTCATTTTGACGACGCTGCACCGGCACCATGCCAAATGATCAAGGAGGACGCTAACAAGTGGTGAGTTTGAACACTTACAGGTGACGCAACCTTTCTTTTAGAATAAATTCAAAAATGTAAAACTGAATAATGAAGTTGTTATTAAACATATTTTAATTACGTGTAATGCAAATATGGGGTCAACAAATGTGCGCTGATGTTAACTTTGCAAACTTGACACAAAACACAGAGATCTTACAGAGTATATAACTTGTAATGGGCGTGAATCAGAGTGAAACCTCGAAGGTTTGAAAGCTCAGGCTGCTTTTGTACGTTCAACTCTGTTCCAGCCTCAGAGAAAAGAAGGCGGTGGACTGCAAAGATCTGATGGTTGCCTTCCAGGTCTGTGTAAAAACTCTGTCAGCGGGAGCTTAGTTTTAAAACATCGATTTAAAATGTAAGTGTGAACATGTCCTGACCAACACAGATTTCCTGTTTTGTGTTTTCATGTGTCTGTCTGTTAGCAAAATGTTGTAGTAACCAGACAGATTTTAATGAAACTTGCAGAAATTAACCATTGGATGTTCATTAGCTTTTGGAGACAAAACGATTCAAATTGGCCACCCCAGCCAGCTCAACATAGAAAACACAAAAATGACTATAATTCAGACAGTTTAGCTTAAAACTGTGTCATTACCTATAGTCAAAACACTGTTTGCCTGTTAGTAAAATATCTCATGAACATGTGAATGGATTTCAATGAAATTCTCAGAAACAAATCAGCGAATGTACATCGACAACTGAAGAACTTTTAGAGTAAATGCTTAAAGACGCTCAAGATTTTACATTCAAGCTCAAAGTTTGGTCAACTGTTTTTATGTATTGTTACCCTTGGAGAAAAGATGTGGAACTAACTCACTCCTTTTTTGTGTGTCACAGCTTCTCTTCAAATACTTTCACTTCAGTGTTTTAACTCGTTTCACTGGATTGAGACTTTTAAACCATGAAGATTACACCTTTGATTCTTCCATAATGTTTATCTTTATCAAACTGACAATAAAATGAATACAATTAACATCTAGATTTTCCTTTCACAAATAAGCATGGTTTTTGTGTGTTAAAAAATGACTGGATGAATGTCTTTCCTGTTGAAATCTATGGGCTCTTTATGTGAGATAGTTCTTAGAGTTAAGAAGATCTTGTTAATCTCTTCTTAATCCTCACATTAGAACCTGCACAGAGGCAATATAACCTTACTTTTTCAGCCTAAGCTCCTCCAATGAATACGGGGATTATCAAAATGTAAGATTACTCATAAAATGACYAGGAAAAACATGTTTTATTTTTTAAGGGACACAACTGACACAAGTTATTTTTTCCAAGTTGTCCTCTAAACCTAAACGTTTTGTCTTACTTTTTAAAATTTCTTATTTCTTAAAAGACAAAAAAAGTGTGAATTTCTAATCCAACTTCAGGACAGAGAGGCACAGAACAAACTGACCAGTTGCAATAATTTATATTTTGATGAAATAGCCTATTTTCAGAGTAGTCTTTCTGATTTTAATGCTTAAATTGATTAGGCCTGTATGGTATTGAAATTCACATGGCATGTGCAGTCCCTAACTAAATTTAAAACCTGCAAACCATAATACTGTTTGTAAAGGCACGGCCAATTATGTTGAAAGCACCAYGGGATGTCCTCACCAGCAACCTCTGACAATGTTTCTAAAGATTTTACAAGATTTTAGAGAGGGAGGTGTCCCCTGCAGCCCACAGAGCCCACAGTGTGGCAGGTGCTGGTAGGAGTGCGTAGCTTCAGGAAAACACCCGACCAGGAGAATAAAGTATGGCAAGTCCATTCATCATATAATACTAGACAGACGTCAAATTGTCTCATTCAAACTGAACGTTTCCACAATCCACAATTCCTTTTCTCTATCCATAATCATTACTGCAGATATTTCAGATAGTATTCATTTTATGACAAATGTCTTTTCTCCTTCATACTTATTGGGTTTTGGCTCTAGGTTCCTTATAAATTATTCCAGGAAGAATGGTATTCTAGACCTGTGAAATACTGAGTTTGATAAGGAAGGGAGATTTTCTACCTGATTTTTTGCTATGAATTTTTTTTTATTATGGTTAGACTGAGCAGGAGATATATAACTGAATGGGGTTTTGTCAGCAGCGCTGGTCATCAATAATAAGGGGTTTGTGTTTGTGTAGCCCGTAGAAGACAACTAGACATAACTAGACAAGTTTTTTTTAAACAATAAAAAGCTGTATTATTTAGCCTTCTGTTTAGGGTTGGGCAATATTGGCAAATAAATCAATCACGATTAATTGTGGTATTTAGCTGATAACGATTAATTAGACGATTAATCTCCCAGAGTCCCTGGACACCTTATGTCCTAGTCACATGACCAGTTTATAGGGAGAAAATTGGCTCTTTGTAAAAATCTGTTCCAATTTGTGTCAAAATTACAGACTTCAGGCTATACATCAAACTTTAAATAGTGTTGATAGATAAATAAATTACACAACTTTTTAATGTTTGTTATATTTGAAGCAGAGAGGAGCACCAAGCGGTTAGTCTGCCGGGTGGCATTAATCGTATTAATCGTCAAGTGCCAAAAATTAATCGATTAATGTTTTTCTGACGATTAATTGCACACGATACGATTATGCCCAACCCTACTTCTGTTGCATCGCCTCAGGCCTGATGTATTTGAACGTTTTTAAAGAGAATCCTATTTGTGAGGACATTAAAATGTATGTTTTCATCAGTAGGAATCTTTAAAACACATATTTTAATTTGTCTTCTAACTAGCAAAGAATATATTTTACTAACATTAYCATTTCTTTTGTTTCCACGAAAGTAATCACATGTGTTTGATATTATGGTACAACGGCCTGCCATACAGGAGGAGGGCGGGGTTTGAGGAGAGGATGGAGAGAGGATGGAGAGAAGAGACCCGGATGCTGATGCGAATGGGCCGAAGGAAGGAAGAGAAGAGAAAATATCGATTTACGGCAAGAAAACGGAGAGTATCGTCCAAGGGGCCTGTTTTTTTTTCTTGCGTGAACCGTAATCAGAAGTGAGGAGGAGGCAGCTGGAAGTCGTGCGGGCTGATTTGTGCTGTTTTTACCCGTGTGTAAATCCGCCGATGACGGAGGAGGACACGCCAAAGGAGAGAGAAGAAGATGCTGTGATCCGCTACTTGCAGTGATGTAGGGAGGCAGAGACTGGCAGAGGCAGGGAGGGGGTGGACTACACTACGCTTAAAAAAAAAAGATGGTTGTTTGGCCAGGAATGCGCGTTTCACCCCGAAATACCGTGAGAATGTGGCCGTTTGATAACACCGACCATTTGGCGATGCCCGGAAACTTCCCGCGGCGTCGGTCATTTTGACAGGCGCGAGGCGGCCGCTGGTCGAGGCGTCGATAGCTAAAGCGAGCCTCGCTGCTGTGTGGGAGAGCGGCGGCGGTGCTAAAATAACATGTTACATCTGTAAAAACAGGCCTAACAGGGAAAATAGCGTTGATTTCATCTTCAGGGCGAAYATTTAGTAGACGTTTTGTTTTACGCAAACAGCGAATAGCTGAAAGCACTGCAGCAAAATGAGGTGAAACTAGCTGTTTTGGCTATGCGTTTTCTAGTTAGCGTCGTTAACCTGGCTAGATGCAAGTACACACAGATAAGCTAATGTACATAAGTGAAACTATTTAGTTTTATTTTGTGGGGCTTAAAGCAGCCAACTGTCATCTCGGCCTCTCTTCCCTGTTACTTGCTATTCTGTTAACTATCAACGCCATGCTAATCGTGGTTCAGAACACGACATATTTAGCTCGAATTAGATGAGCAGGCTTCATTTTTTTAAACCACTTTGTCATGTTTCACTCGGACTAGCAGCGTTATTCTTGTAAAACAAGCTGTCTGTTCAAGTTTAAGTCCCACAACTCCTGTATAAGCTGTACAATATCACAATAATTGCAAAAAAAAAAAAAAAAAAAAACAGTGCAGTGTTAGTTATAGCTGTGTATTAGTGTTGAGTAGGAGCAGTATGAGTAAGGAACTGTCTCTGAGTCAGTCTGCTCAATATGTTGGGCCCTATCGACTGGAAAAGACTCTGGGGAAAGGGCAGACAGGTGAGAGGACTCATGCAAGTTTTACAATGAACATCTATGTTTGCATTTTCTATTCTCCACCCACTCCCCCAACTAAATAAAACCACCCATGCCTCTATTGTTTTTTTTTATTTTGCATCTTTGTTTTTCTCAGGACTGGTCAAACTTGGGGTCCACTGTATCACGGGTCAGAAGGTAGCCATCAAAATAGTCAACAGAGAGAAGCTGTCTGAGTCAGTCCTGATGAAGGTATGGGTGTGATGTCTCCGAGGTGGCTGCTCATGGTGACGATATCTGCTATATTTGTATACAGCCTGACGTGTTAAGCTGTAAACAAACTGTACCACGTTCTCTATGCTTATCACCTTTACCTCACTTCTGATGCTTCGCTTAACTCACCGTCTGGCYTGTGTGCTCTGCTTTAGTACCTTTACTTCTGTCTCCTCTGTTTGACCAGGTTGAGAGAGAGATTGCCATTCTGAAACTGATTGAGCATCCGCATGTGTTGAAGCTGCATGATGTTTATGAGAATAACAAATACCTGTGAGTTCACTATTTTAACAAAGATACTAAATTTCTTGTCTTTAACTGTGACTCTCTTTACTGATGTTGAAGTCTAGGAACAAAACATGAGTTGATGATGACCAGTTAAGATAAGTCCCATCATACTGTTCAATAACAGTTTCCTTAAAGGATATTTATTTTTGAAGGCCTGCGTATATGATTTGGAAAACTGTAAAACTTAAAGAGAAATAAATCACAAATAAGTAAATCAAAGCAAGAACAAAATGTGTGGTAGTTTGACGAAGGGCTGCGTGCTCAAAGCATTATTTATTTAACAAAATTTTTGCGTTAGAGCTTCTTTGGTGTGTGGGTTATTTCACAAATTTTCCCAACTCTTGCATATTTTAAACTATCATTCAGAAGTATGTAGAGTGACCAGAAATGAAAATGTTTCTAAACATGCAGTTTTATGTGTTAATTTTTGTGTCAGCAAAAGAAACCTTTGACCTTTAAATGTRAATTCGTATCAATGCTCAGCTCAGCAAAGTTGATTGAGGTCATTTTTTTCATCACAGCCCTACAATAAATTTTTTTTTTGTCCACTTCCAGACATTTTAAAAATGGGAGATTACGACATTTTGTTGTCCTTACTGACAGGTACCTGGTGTTGGAGCATGTGTCCGGGGGAGAGCTCTTTGACTATCTGGTGAAGAAGGGTCGGCTAACTCCGAAGGAGGCCAGGAAGTTCTTCCGGCAGATCATCTCTGCTTTGGATTTCTGCCACAGTCATTCCATCTGGTGGGTTTTTACACGGCGCGCTGCTTCTTAGATAAAGCTTGTGGGACCACAAATTGCTCTACTCTGTTGTCTCTGTTCAAAGCCTTCTCAYTTAAATAATACAGACTCTATTGTTGGAGACACATTTTCGGAACAAATCCGTATCAAATGGATCTCTGTTCTGTGTGCAGTCACAGAGACCTGAAGCCAGAGAACTTGCTTCTGGATGAAAAGAACAACATTCGCATTGCTGATTTTGGCATGGCCTCCCTACAAGTGGGGGACAGTCTGTTGGAGACCAGCTGTGGGTGAGTATCATAAATAAGGTTTTTGTATCTAAAATAGTCACATTTCCATTTTTAGTAGCATAAATAAAGCCCATCAGTTTCCACAGAACTAAGAACAACACATCTTTGTTTTCTTTCACTGATATGCCCACTGAAAGCCCTAGGTGAAATTCATGGCAGCCATCTTGCTAGGGGCCACATAGTATATCACTCTGCACTGTTTATATGTCAAAGCTAAAGCTTAAATAAACATATATTATGCATTTTATGAAAACAGAGAATAAGCATGGGCACAGTTCTTCTAATCCGCTAATAGCGGAACTAGCTTTTTATTAGCATTTTTCCAAAATCTGGAAACAATTAGTGGCTCGATTAGCTTCTGCAAAATTAGGTTCTGCTAATTTTAAGCCTGCTAAAAAGTTCACGTGTTAAACGTCCATTTTTATGCCGTTTATCCCAAATGCAGTGATAATGAAGTGATAGTAAAAAACTATCTCTTACAAGCAGCGCTGGTAGCAGCTAAACTTCAAACTAAGGGCRTCAAAAATAACATAACATTCAACAAGATTTAAATAACAAGTACAAAATCTGACTGTACAAAATATGGCAGAGAAAGTATTTACTAGTTGTTGTTTGACTAACTTCAAACAGTCCTGATGCATCTCAGTAATCCAGGTAAAAAATCAAAAAGAAAAAAATTGTGTAGGTCTTCTGGACGGGTTCTTYTCTAATGAAACGTTTCGTCTCTCCTCCAAGAGACTTCTTCAGTCTGAGAGTTTCAGGCAAAATTCAGGCTTTTAAGCCCTGCCTCCATGTGACTGATACTCACATCACATGATACTCACATCACAAAAAGAAGCCATTTTTGTGAAGAAAGACCGTCCATCATTAAACAGAGGTGGAGGCCTCCGTTTTCAGTTGTCCCCCTCATACAGCGCTGCTATAGCCAGTATCACTCCACCCCCTGTTAACAATAGGTGTTAATTAGGTGTCAACGATAGCCATGTGATGTGAGTATCATGTGATGTGAGTATCAGTCACATGGAGGCAGTGCTTAAAAGCCTGAATTTTGCCTGAAACTCTCAGACTGAAGAAGTCTCTTGGAGGAGAGACGAAACGTTTCATTAGAGAAGAACCCGTCCAGAAGACCTACACATTTTTTTCTTTTTAACTTCAAACAGTATTAATAAAAATACAAACTTGATCAAAAATGGATTTTATTGTGAAAGGGTTCAACTGGAAATATCACAAGTTAGACAGAGCTACAACTCCGCTTCGGATTGGCAGATTTGCTACATAGGATCCCATCCACTTCCAAATGAAACTAATAGAAAACTAACAACAGGTTTGTGTCAGTCCCACTTCTGACCCAGTTCTCTACTATATCATCGACTGTTTATTAGGAATTTTATTAAAGCTCAATGCATTTGATCTAAAAAAAAAAATAAAACAAACCTATACAAGCTGTCACTACACACCACTTTAGCTAATGTTCAACTCAGTGATAAAATTGTCAGGTGCTGTAATCATTCCATCCAGACCAGTACAGTTCATGTCTGCTTAGTCTAATCAGAACTCTGCTACACCACTGTAGTTAACTGCACTTAGACTAATAACCTTTACTTTACAACGCAGTCTTTGACTGGAATTATTTAGACCTTATATCATGCACTTCAGTGTTTAGACATGGATGACTGAGCTTCTCTCTAGCCTATTCACTATGGTTTTGCACATATATTTTAYTTCAGTTCAGATACGTTTTGATTTATGAATGATTTCTGACAGAATCAATAGGCATCTGCAATGGAGGAGACAGACTGAAGCTAAAAAGAACCTATTTTAAATGATTTATGAGCTAATATGCCATTCTTATCGATAAAACAACCTGTTCTTTGAAGCGCAGGTTTGAATAATTATAACGATTGGCAAAACTTTGGACTCCTTGACTGAGTTTATTTTTTTCCTCAAAAATCCACGGTCTGCTGCCAAACTGGCAGAAGCTACCATCTGCCAAGACGATGCCATGAATTCCCATTAGCAAAGACTGGAAATGAGTTTGTGTGCTTGCTCTGTTTCATGCAACATGTTTTGTCTTCCATTTCAGGTCACCTCATTATGCCTGCCCTGAAGTTATTCGGGTAAGAGTCAAGCTCTGTCACACGACGTCTTCCTCTAATAAAAAAAAAACAAGGAACTGATTTAAATGAATTATTAATTAAGAAGCAAAAGCTACTTGAACTGAGCGCCGACCAGATGGCAGTAATGATTCCCRAATCAATAAAGATGAATGTAAAATCTCTCAAACAGGTTTTAAATCTGTGACTTGTGTTGATTTTATGATGCTCATCTCCGGTCAGGGTCAGTCTGTTTTTTTTTTTATCACTTTCTGCATTTAAAAGCTTATCCAGACCTGACTAAGTGTAGGGATTAGAATGGATTACAGCCTTTCTTTCGACAGAAATCTTGTCAGGTTTAATCTGATATGCTTAAATGAGCTCTCAGTGTTTATTTCGAGTCGTTTTTGTGTTCAGCTTATAGAAAGCAATAAACTACATTTTCTCTCCTTCAGGGGGAGAAATATGATGGGAGGAGAGCAGATGTGTGGAGCTGTGGGGTCATTCTTTTTGCCCTACTGGTGGTCAGTGTTTTTACTCGTATCTTCACAGTGACATTGGGCTTTTTGGAGAGAAATCTACGTTTTAATCTAATTTCTGTCTGTTCTTCTCTCCTCACTCTGTTACAGGGCGCCCTGCCTTTTGACCATGACAATTTACGCCAGCTCCTGGAGAAGGTGAAGAGTGGCGTGTTCCACATGCCTCACTTCATCCCCCCGGACTGCCAATCACTGCTCAAAGGCATGATTGAGGTCAACCCAGAGAAGAGGCTCTCGGTATGTAACCAGTCAGTTCATAGGAATCAGTCTGAACATCTAATCTGGCTGTTGTTTATCATTTAAAAATGTTTCTGTTGTTTTATTTCTCTTTGATTTGCCTATTTGTTTTATTTTTTGCTTGTATGTTTCATTGCTGGTTTTGGAATGGAGCATTTTAATTCTAATAAAGGAACTTATAAATGATAATTTTGGCATTTTAATATTCAGAGATGAGGAAATGTGCAGCAAGAAAAACAAAAACTAATATGAAGCGTTTGCACATCACAGCTCTGTGGCCATCTGGCTGTGAACAGACTGTAGAAACTAATGGTCCCATCTGCCCTGTCACCTCTTTACAGCTAGAGACCATTCAGAAACACTCCTGGTATCTGTGAGTATGCGTCTTTTTTTTTCTCCTCCCACATGAAATGACGCTGCACCACATTTTTTTCTTACAAATGACTGCACATGTGTGTGTTTTTAATTATTATTTTTATTTTTTTAAACGTGTTTCATTGGGCGTTATGTTTGAAGGGGCGGTCGTAAYGAGCCGTGTCCCGAGCAGCCGCCCCCCAGGCGTGTGTGTGTGAGGCGGATCATGTCGCTGACTGAGCTGGACCCAGATGTGTTGGACAGCATGCACTCGCTTGGATGTTTCCGGGACCGAGTCAAGCTCACACGGGATTTGCAATGCGAAGAGTAAGAATGTGTTCTGTCACCGGTTTTGTTCAGAGTTTGATTGTACTGGAAAAACAGACGCATGTGGAACGTATGCAGTAAAAGTGCTTATCCTTTAAACATGCTTTTTGACTTGTCTGTTTACGTTTTGGAGGATCCAGCCACCAAAAATACAGTAATATAAACGCGACATCAGCTTGAATTTTGTTCCACTTTTGTATAAAAGCATCTAAATAACTGATGATTAWAAATATAAGCATGTAGCCACACTTTTAGGTCACAGCTGACGATTTGCTGAGTTAGAGTCCAACTCAGGTCTCTTCTAAACACAAACTGTTCTGAGGGCTCCCTGTCTGTATGTTTTTCTCAAATTCTAAATATTTTCTATAAATACATTTTTTCTTCATTTCTGTTTGAATTAGAGAAAACCAGGAGAAGATGATCTATTACTTACTGCTGGACAGGAAGGAGCGCTACCCCAGTTATGAAGACGAGGACCTGCCTCCGCGCAATGATGTGGGTGAGTCATTGGGGGCACAATGTTTGCTCACGACTATGGAAGAAATCCAGCTAATTCTGGTATGTTTACATTACTGAAACCTTGATTAATGTGCATTGTCATTTTAAACAGACCAATGAAATGATCCATTTGACCCTTTTGCTCTTGGGTCAAAGTGACTCCTGAGGCCTCAGGATTTAAACAGTTTTAAGCTGTTAATAATTTAACATTATCGCTAAAGTAATATGTAATTATTGACAATCTTCATAACAGATTTGTTATGGAACAAAACCGGGAGAGGGGAACCATTTTGTGAGTGAAATGAAGCTCMGTTTACAATCACAGATGGTACAGAGAGCAAAAGGCCCGTGGAAAAACTGCTGGGGATTGTGTCAGCTTTTCAAACGTGACGACAACATGAAGACCCCGTACAATTTTAGATCAAGGAAAAATTGTGTTTTATTTTGAGAAACCCTTCAACGGTTCTGCTGCCCTGGTTTTTTTGAAGTGGTTTTCGCGTATCCCACAGTGAAACAAAGCTGTCAGCAAGGCAGCTTTAGTTGAAAATCATTTATGCTCCTCAGCGGACCCCCCTCGAAAGCGTGTCGACTCCCCGATGCTGACGCGCCACGGCCGCTGTCGCCCTGAGAGGAAAAGTCTGGAGGTGCTAAGTGTTACTGAGCAAGGGTCTCCTACACCGCCTCGCAGGGCCTTTGACACCGCTGCACACAGCCAGAGGTTTGATATCCTATTCTCCCATGTAAACAGTACAAACACTAAATATGACCAAGAGGGAAATCATTTTATAATTAGTAATATTTAACTTTAGTCTTCTTGTCAGGTCTCGCTCGGTCAGCGGAGCGTCAAGTGGTCTGTCCTCCAGCCCTCTCAGCAGCCCCAGGGTAAGTCAGTGAACATTTGATCTGTGCACATGGTTTTTTAAACACAACTTAAGCCTGTGACATCAAATATTGGATTTCCAGCTATCTATAGATACATGGGTTAGCTCTCATTTTTAACTAATTAGCGCAAAAATCCCCAGTGTTAAAGTTAATCTTGTGGTTGCAGTCATTCTCATTTTTCAGTACTGGCATGGTTTGTTTTTCCTCAGAGGTCTAATGTGTGCATCATATTTTAATTTACACTCTTTACATTCAAATTATGATACAATACTGTTAACTGTAAGATAATAACATTAAGATAAACCAGAGTGGAGTTGTTGTTTTTTTTGTTCCCATGCATTTCAAAACAATATTCCTGTTTTGACATTAGATTTAGCACATTTTCATTTAATATGACTATTTAAAAAATGTGTTTTTCTGTATGAACAACCTCTATTATACAAACAAATGTTTATTAATTTTGCTATGGAATATTGGGGTCATTATAATGTACATACTGTATTTCTGCAATTTTGTCATTAATCTGTTTCAGCTCTTTACAGCCGTTTGTATTATCTGTATATAAGTTCTCTTAAACATCATGACACCATTAAATTCTCACTCATTTTTTTATGCCACTTCACCTCCCTGTGCATGTATTACTTCTATAAGCAACCGTTCAGAAACCAGAGCCATTCAGTTACAAAATGTGTAGAATATTTAGTATTTAAGCTGTGTTTAAAGAGTAGGGTGTACAATGAAGTCCTAATTTGCTGCACTTGCTCTTCATCGTCACCGCTGCGTTTCACTTGTCTGTGCATTCCTAACTCTGTCACAACCACAAACTCTCACATGCAAAAAGCGCTTAAAGGTTAAAAATAGTTTCATAAGCAGCACTTTCACTGTTTAAAAAACACTCTTCTGTCATTAAGCATGATATTCATTTCCATCCTTTCTTCATTTTCCATCCCTTCTCTTGTTTTCCATGTCTCTCAACCCCCCCACATTCCTCAACACCCAATCCCACCCCCCAGTCCTATCAGAGCCCCGTCTTCACTTTCAGCCAATCAGACGTCACCTGCGCCACTGCGTCCCCCCTCACAAAGGAGTCCAAACAGGGAAACGCCACCACTCCTCGTCCAGCGCGCGCTCAGGATAAGCTCAAAGCGCCATCCAACCCAAAGACCCAGACCTTGCCCACCAAAGGACCCACCGAGCGGCACCATCTGCAGCCCATCAAGTCCCTGCCTCTGCACAATCCCCCCTCGCCCTCCCCCTCCCCACTTCTGTCACCCATCCCTCGCTTCTTCTTCCCTTCGTCTTCTGTCCTCAAGTCAGTGACTAAGAGCTTGTACCCAAACTCTGCCCACTCTGTGCCACAGGTCACCCCCCAGGGCTCTCCGCTGCCCACGCCCATGGGCACCCCCGTCCACCACCCCCACCACCCCTCCTCCACCCCGCCCTCCTCTTCCTCGTCCTCATCCTCTTCGCGGGCGGAGGGAGGGGGAGGGGTGGGCTCACTTTCGCTGACCCCGCCCTCAAGCCCAGGAGGGGGTAGCGGTATGGCGGCGGGCAGCCCCGCCCACTGGAGGACTCGGCTCAACTCGTTCAAGAACAACCTTCTGGGCTCGCCTCGATTTCATCGACGTAAATTACAAGGTGGGCTTTTAGCTTTTCTGCCATGATGCGTGAGATGCCCCCCACCCGTGTGTTTTAAATGTTTTTTTTTTAAATAATAATTTGTGTCTCGCAGTTCCGACGTCAGAAGACATGTCCAGTCTAACACCAGAATCCAGTCCTGAGTAAGTCACAGTCCTGGAACCTTTCTATTTTCAGAATGTGATTCTGTTTTCTCACCCTTTTCTCTCACTGTCGTGTTTTTTCCCTCTGGCCCACAAAAGGCTGGCTAAGAAGTCGTGGTTTGGGAATTTCATCGGCTTGGAGAAAGAGGAGCAGATCTTTGTGGTGATCCGAGACAAACCTCTGAGTTCTGTCAAAGCCGACATCGTTCACGCTTTCCTGTCAGTGAGTATCTGATGCGGTCTGCCTCACACGCCGCTCGCCGTCTATTTCTGTTTGAACACTGCTCTTGGGGAGGGGAAGGAATTCCCATGCACTCTCATACTGCGCACCTCATTACTTTCATTATTTTGTTTTTCTCTTTGTGTGTTTCTTTGTTTTTTTATTTTTTATTTTATTTTACTCACTTGTGGCACTTAGATGGCTCACTTTGCTTTCACCAACGGCTCACTCTTTCTCTCTCCTGTCCTCACCCTCACCCTTTGTCTCTGTATGCTCACGTCGGGCCCCCCTGTACCTCTCCCGCCTCGTAAGTCTGTCGGTCTTTCTGCTTCTTCTCTGTCTCCCCGCCACGCAGATCCCGTCTCTCAGCCACAGCGTCCTCTCGCAGACCAGCTTTCGGGCCGAGTACAAGTCCTCCGGCGGTCCCTCCGTCTTCCAGAAGCCCGTCAAGTTCCAGGTGGACATCGCCTTCTCCGAGGGCGAGAGGGAACGGGACAGGGAGAGGACGGAGAGGGAAGGCAGGAGGGAGACAGGAATCTACAGCGTGACGTTCACCCTCATATCAGGCGAGTGCAGCACACTCTGAATAGGAAAAATAATTTATTTTCATTTATTCACCAACAAGCATATTAAGAGCAATTCAGAGTTTATAGTCTCCTAACAGGGAACTTCTGACACCGTGCAGGACTGGGGATCAAACACCTAATCTCTCTCTCCTGAAAATGTACCTTTTTACCACTGATCYACAGCCAGCAGGACTTCTGCCTCTTCTACTTGATCAAATGGGCTGCACTAATTTAGGAGTGCACTCGTATATTTGTCAACACTGTAATGTAATAGCATGACCTCCTTCTTTTTGTCTGCAGTGAATGGAAAACCTGTTGTTTTGTTTAACACTGGGTAAAAAAAAAAGAAATACTTGGTGTTGAATTATTTCTGTGAAGGTGTTTTTGTAGAGCTTTCTGTTAGTTCCGCTGAAACTCTTGTCAGTTGAGTCAGCTGGGTGCAAAAGTAAAAACATTTTAAAAATGCCAAACTTATGACTATTTGTCACCTGCCAGTGAAAGGAAAATAGTAGGACAATAATGTTTTGCCTATGTCTGTGTGTGTGTATAAATGTGTGTGTCTTTTCTGTTTGCAAAATATTCCTTGAACCTCTTGGCAGTTTTGAAAATTATCTTTGGGTGTACATCATGTACGTCTGTTTAATTCAACATGCCTGCCAAAGCTAATCTATGTTAGCCATCATTTCTCAACTCCAGATAACCACAGTCTAAAACTCTGGCATGAAAGCAGTTGGTCTTTAATTTACTTAACTTTTTTAAAGCTAGTTTCATCTGTCAAGAATCATTATTCCAAAGTTTTTTGCAAAACATTCCCTAAAATTCAAATGCTATAATAGCATGAAATAATTTTCCTAACAATATGAACAGTGTCTTACGTGTGTGCCTCATTGTATCCTCAGGCCCAAGTCGCAGGTTCAGACGAGTCGTGGAAACGATCCAAGCTCAGCTTCTCAGCTCCCATGATCAGCCACTRGTGCAAGTCCTGTGTGGTGAGGCTGCTTACACAAACTTATCTGTTTATCCACTCGGCAATCGTTGTTTATTTGTAAACACATAACATTTCTAATTCTCTTAAGTGGCAAAGAATTGTCATTAAAAAAAGAAAGAAAAAAAAMASARARARAA